TCAAACATTAACTGTCAATTTTCGTAGTTTTCTCCGCAAACAGACGTGAATAGAAAGGATTTTACCACCGCTTTAGCATCAAACGAAGCTATTTGTTGTATGTACACCTGGAAGTTTGACAGAGCTTGGGATGGGATGCAGGAGGCAGCGGAAATGTCTCAGACTGACAGCAGAAAGCCGTTTTATACTGAACGTTTCTGGCTGCTGACAGTGCTGAGAGACAAGAGACAGATACAGAACCAGAGCACTTTTAGCTTGTTTTGTCACTTTATTGTTCATTGCCTCCAGTCCAATGCCACTGACAGCTTTGCTACACTATGGAAAATAATCAATGCATCCTTTGGCATTAGTTTATTTGTGCCCCGTTATTCATTTAAGAGGAAACATTTATCATCCATTTATTAGACTAATGATGTAAGACAGTACATTTTGTCTTAAAGTAAAAAAGCTGATAGCATCCATTAGCCAATGTGGGTAAACAGAGGTCTCAGTCCTCTTTTCTTTTGCTGTTATGCACTAATTCTGGTACTGAAATAGCTCCAAATGTTGCTTTAAGTTCCAAACAGGAACATTTTTAGACTTCAGTCAGTAAATGATGTGATTTTGAATCTGCAAGCTGCCGTTCAAACTGCAGGGGACGCCCTCCTCAACAAAGTAAAGAGGCAAACAGAGCCTTAAAGACACTGCTGCTGTACAACTAACGGACATAAAAAGCAAAACTTGGATCAGGACCACAAAATCAAACGGTGTCTCCACTATCTGCATCAGCTCAGCTGTAAACAACAAACCCAATTTAAACTGGAAGCACATCAACTTGAGTCATATTGATGTGTTTGGGCTCGTAATAAGTTTTAACTCACTCACTATCTTCAGAAAACGTTTTTGAAAAGCTCAAAGATCATTTTCCTTCACTGAACCCAAACAGTTTGCTTCACTAATCTGGAACTTGTTCAAATTCAATGACTTGTCATGTATGGCAAAATGCTTTGTACTGTACTATAAAGTCAATGCACACTATTCTGCCCTTTACAAATAAGAGATATGGCTCTCCTATCCATAACCATCTTTGTACTTTTCCCCTGCATCCATATTGCTTTTTATTCCCTCCCCATCTCACATTGTTTATTAATAAGCGGAGCGTCCGTGTGTGTAGCTGCTGCTTCGCTGATGCAATTTTCCCCTCTGGGATCAATAAAGCACGAGCCATATACCATGCAGACGTATCCCTTCAGGCAAAGGATAATAAGAAAATCGAATGAAAACAACCACTGTTGCATTATGGGTGATGACGCGCTATTCATGAGCCGTCTGGGTTCGGCAGAGTTGAGTTAACGTTGCTCAGATGGGCGTGTTGTGAGGACTAGTGGATATTTAACCGAGAAAGGAAGTGAATTTGTAGATTCATTTCTTTGGATTTGCTTCCTTGCTAAAAGTTTTTCCTGTAAAGTTCTTCTTTGTACACTGGCTGCTTTTTCCAATCATTCTTAGAATGTCTCCCATTTTTGTTTGGAGAAGTCATTTTATAATGAACTATGACCCATTCAAGGATTAAACTGAATATAACCAAAGGGATGAACCTGTGTCGTACATATGGATGCATGGATAGACCTTCTTCGTAGCAGCCTTTCAAAAAGGAAGGAGCTCAGAGATGGAGGAGGAAGGAGCTCAGAGATGGAGGAAGGAGCTCAGAGAGGGAGGAGGAAGGAGCTCAGAGATGGAGGAGAAAGGAGCTCAGAGATGGAGGAAGAAGGAGCTCAGAGATGGAGGAGGAAGGAGCTCAGAGAAGGAGGAAGGAGCTCAGAGATGGAGGAGGAAGGAGCTCAGAGATGGAGGAGGAAGGAGCTCAGAGATGGAGGAGGAAGG